GCAAAACATAAATATGACACCAAAATTATGCATATGAATTTTTAAAAAGCTAGTATTTCAACTTTAATATCCAATTCACAGGTAAAATAATTTACAGGTAAGAACTTCTTTACTAATTATATTTTTATTATATAAATCAATTCGGGCGCTTCGCCGGCCGCTAACGCGGCACGCTCACAGTTCTAACCTAACCTAACTTCCTAACTTTTCCAGCTGTTCCAATCTCGCCTGCGTAAACCTATGTGAAATTAATTTATTTATAATTAATTGTTGCTTTTAGTTGCTTTTACTTCAGGCAAGTTCAAGCCCAGGGTTGTTCAAAAAAATACGCATCAGATACGACTTTTAATAAGCAAGTGAAATGTTTGTTAACGCTTAGCTGTTTGACTGAAGTAGAAATCGCTAAATATTTTCATAAGCTCTTAAATTATATATAAGATATGGATAGCAAGATTTGGCTCAAGGGTTTGATAAAAACTACATCACGCGCAAACACGCACGCAACCAAACTATGCACCAAGTTATTGGAGTTACCATAAGGTGAACCAAATGGACATACCCAGAACTTCAAATTCAGCCCAAGCTTAGCATCATAAAATAAGTGTCATAATTAATAAGTACCATTCGGATGTGTATAGTTTAATTAATACAATGATCAAAATACTTTAGTAAATATGGGTGATTTAGAAGAAATATTATCAGGCGCAGCACCACTATCAAAAAAAAAGAAATATTTCAATAAAGACGAGAGAATAAACACTATTTGCGACACCATGCTGAATATTCCGAGGTTAAATTACTAATACTAATTAATATATGATTAAAATTTAAGTATTGTATATAATATTGTATATAGGTTAAGATTTAATAAAGTCGATGAAGATTGTTCTGATGTGATATCTATTACGCTTACTTTAATCACATTTGCAATGATACCGTTGTGATATTTATGATTATGAAGTTACGGAGTTGTAAATATTTAAAATATATATATGTGAATAATATTCTATGTCTAACAATAAAATCCGTATATAACGGGATAAACCACGTCAGTATAAATAAACGAAAATTAATTTAATTGCTCTCAAGCGATAAGCTATAGCTTCCAAGAGCAAAATTATATAAATAAACTGTGCAAAATTATGATTAACTATTAAAGCCTCGCCACACTTGCCACATAAGGTAACATATTACCTTCTGTATTTTAATATTAGTCGATAGAATCCTTCATTAGTTTATCGACCAATCAAATGAACGCTCAGAAATCACCCTTAAATTATACGCGATCAATAACAACACCAAGATTATCTTATATGGGAGCTGAAGTCTGCTCAGCATTTGTAGACTACGGAAAAGAGTTTGAATCGTATAAAGCATGGGCGGAGCTGTAGTTTCTCCAATCAAATGTAAGTATCTCGAAATGGTAGTGTCTATTCAAGAATGCCACTATGTCAGTACGATAGATAAGAACAAGAACGCAAATCCCACCCAATTGTAGAAAGTTCCTCTAGGCAGGCGTTATTTCACCGAAACTGTTCACCACTGTTTAGAGGATGTTTCGAGTTTCTAGATTAGAAATGATACTACATCTACATTAATAACGAGTATCTTATACATCTTTGCTTAGTTGATGATGTAGTCCTAATGGCTGAGACCTTGGAGGATAATGCTCTAAGATCTCAATAGTGCATCCCAAAGAGCATGTCTTAAGATGAACTTAGTACGAAAATCATTCCAAATGTCCATGGCATACCTACGTCATTTAAATTGAGAACTCTCTCTTGAACTTTTCATTTAGGTGAATCCAACTTCAAGAATGAGATTTCTCGTCTAATCTAGTTCATTTTTTATGTACAGCGTTCAAGAAACTACGAAAAATCTTCGCTATGATAAAGGTTATGGGAGCCGCTGTATACTGGCAATGCAGGACGAATCGTCAGGACGGACTATGAAGAAGGCAAGCGGTGGGCGTGTATGGTTGATGATGATGATAGTGATGGATATATTCAAGTATAATTTTTTGTCTATCACTTTCACGGACATTTTCTGTAATAAATTAATGTCATCATTTGCAATAGATATTAATTATATTTTATTACAACAAAATCCATTTCGAGATTCTTGTTTTGGTTTCATTATTCAAATACTCTGGTGACAAGAAGTGATAAATTTTTCTATCCTAAAGTGCAAAGTTATAAAATAAAGTGGATAAAAAACCTTACGTCAGACTCAAAAACTAAGCACAATAGTTACTTTATCAAGAAGTTAGAAAAAGCCAACATGAAAGCCAAAAGTCAAAATCGTTCTGTCCTACAAAAGTTCCAGAAAACTTGTTCCTTTCCGGCCGTTCACTCTTAATTATCTGCTGTATATTCGGCCAATTTGCTCCGTTGTCGAGAAGCGAAAATATTCCAACATTCAAGCTTTGTTCCTGGCACGAAATCAGACACGACTATAGGACGTGCTCCTTCAAAATCGGAAATTGACTTCTACAGAGCGAGCGTACCACCGTCGGATCATTGTCATGCCGCGAGCTCGCTACAACGCTTCGGCATTTAAATACGACGCAATCGTGACGCATTCCGATGTCCTTCCTACCTCGCAGCTATTATAGTGATGGAAATCTCAGCAAATTATCGATGGTTGCGAAAATTGAAAACAATAAATATTGTATATATATATATATATATATATATATATTTTATTATAGATCAAATTAAATTACCGAAAATAAAAATATATACAACTTAATTAGCGCCCTTATGACTAAAAGCAATTTCATCCTAGCAATAATTACGAACGAAATGTTAAATTCAAAAGCCTATACTTATACATGTAGATGTATGATACATATACTATATGATGTAGATGTATAAGCTATCTTCAAACAATACTTATAAAACACATTCACAACACAAATTTTTAATCACAAGGAAATGTGAGTAATCTATAAATTAAAATATGTTGTAATATAATCATAAGCCGTTATGTTTATATGGTAAAAAATTAAAGTATGTCTTGGTTATATCGTAAAATTGTATTATACAAAAAGATAAAGAGGGATTCATGATTTACTATGGAGATATTAATATACTATGGAGATATTAAATATTGCATAAAATGTGCATTGGTAGTTATTCTGCTAATCCTGTTCAAACAAACAAAGGGATAATGGAAAACTATATACAGGCACTTATTTTTAATATCGGAGATCCTCTTATAAAGAGAAGTAACATTTAACTTCCCTCGTATTGTCCGCACTATGTTTGATCAATTAAATCTACTTGGACGATAGATAAATTTCACTCATAAAATTGCTTTATAAAAAAACGAAACCGTAAAAGTTAGCAAATTGTTAAGTAGTTTCACAACACTAAATACGGCTTGCTAAAAATACAATAATATGTACTTACTTATACCGGCCGTTAGCAATAAGGTCACATAGATCCGCAGGATATGCTTTATTTCTTTTTGTTGATAAAAAAAAGACTTGATGGGGATTGGTTTTATTTACAAGCTTTTATTTAACTTGAAATGTTTATATCTATGTTCACTTAATCTTACAACTGAATTTTAACGCAGGTAGACTAACAGATTACGCTGAAATTTTGCGCACACTAGTTTACTTTTACTTGTTGGCTGTTTCATTTTTTTTATGAAACTTTATATTATATTTTGCATATATTTATTAATTTCGTTTAGTTGTTTACAAAAACTATTGTAAGTTTATATATTTATACACCTCTTAATTATTTTTAATAAATAATATTATCAAATACAGTCCATTAACTAAGTAATCTCATTTTAAATCTAATAAGGGGAACGATTCAAGATGGTGGCCCAGTTATTTTTTATGAACTCTAACGATATTAAATAAAACGGTTTGCTAAGAAAAATCAATAATATAATAACACCACCAGAATTTCTTTTAATGACGTCTAAATTAAGGATTTCAAAATAATATTGCAGATTTACATTACAATGAGAAAAATACAAAAAACCATTAATATAGTAAGATCTCTTAGATGTTTAAGTAAGTTTTTATTGAACTAACATTCTCGCATGATGTGGATGCGTTGTCTCGATTCCAAGTTTCTAGTAGTGTAACATACTATGTCAAACTTGAACTTCTAAGTAAATTCCAGGCGAGATACACCGCTCTCGAGACGTTCAAGTATGGCAAGTTGAAGTTAAGAATAACATTTGTTCTTGGATAGAATGTCTGATGGAGTTTGTTGGATATACGCTAGCGTAGTTATGAGGTCATTTCTTGTAATCGTTATCATACAGCCTTCGTAAGTACTTAGATACTTCCTTAGTATCTTATCATTCAAGTGTCATATTATTTCGTATGAGTTGTAACAAAATTTCGATCACCATAACCACGTAACGTGATAACTGATATTTGCGAATAAAATTCTTACCTTGAACAGTTAAGCTACATCATAAACGATGTGATTACTTGAAATGATTTCAGTATAGAACAATGAAGAAACATTTCAAGAGTTTTGTATTAACTTGCTGAATTACAACGATTGTTCTCGAAGACACGAAAAAAAAAACTTTTTTTTCATTGTGACCTTCCTAAGGCAAATTCAGAGAAATCATTAATTTAGTTACCTTTACATAATCATTAACACGTATTATAACTATAAAGAGGTTAAGACAAAATACCCGCATTATGTTACAGATGTGGATATTAAACGTACAACAAAAGGAAACAATTATAGCGTGACACATGAAACAGGTGTGATTGTGTTGTTCCTGTTCACTATATAATTATGATATTAACATACGTTCGCTTAATAAGTATGGTTTACGGAAGCATTACAAATGCTCAGAGTGGAAATGTATTCTAGCAAATGATACAAAGAAGGTATGGTATTTGCAATTGCCCTTTTCTAGTAGACGTTGCGTCACCCTAGTACAAAGCGGTTGCTTGGAAAGTCAGTAGACTGGGTAAACAGTTCCAAAATGTAAACTTCATTATGTCATATTATACAATTTTTACGAGGGCTTATGTAGCACTTAAAAGTAGAGCTAATAAAACCACCGAAATACCTAACACATGATCTATAACCATTTATTATGTCAGCGGATCTTGGATATGCAATTACTTTACTGTATTAAGAAACAAGAAGACAATATTTCATAACCAAATATTAAAATAATTTTAAAATGTCTCCTTTAAATCACGAAAAGCATATATTTATTACATTGATATTGTGAAAATTGCGAATTCAATGGTAAACAACTTGCCTACTTGAAGCTATGCACTAGATCATAATATTTTATGTTGGCCTTAAGTATTGGTTTCTTCTATTTTCAAGCGCACTATTCATAAATGAAACAACTTTGAAACGGTTTCATCGTATTTGTATTTAGTTTTATTTTTCGTTTCTCACCTTTTACAGTTTTCGTGTTCATTTAAGACTCAGGTGTTGATTGTAATTAGAAGTATAGCTATCTTCAAAAATCAATATTATTGGACACATTCACAATACAAAAAATGTTATGTTTTAAGGCAACGTTTACATTTGTTAAATTTAATTATTTTATAATACATTTGACTCATTTATTTACCCCTGACTACCATAATCTACCACCAGTTCCAACTTTGGGAGTCTTTTTTGAGAACAACTGGCGAAACAAACTCCGACAAAAAAAGTGAATTGCTGCCTTTGATATTTGCAGAATGAACTAACTGTATCTTTTGGTAACTGTACGTGTGATCTGGATTGACATTTTATTTGACTAATTACTGGATCCCAAGCCGGTGGTATATGCCAACCTTCATCTCTATTAACATTCCAAGTCTCCACTAGACGCAAATGATTATGCCTGACCGAGGATAAAAATGTACGTAATTTTGTATACCCAAACCCTAACATTATTGCATAAGATTCCGTACATTCATGCTCGCAGACAAATTGTAGTTGTAGGCCATTTTCCGTTATTATCCTTCGCTATAACGCTCTTAGTCATTTTCATTTAAATACGTAACAAAAGCCAAAGATTTAACAAAAATTCGGAAATTGAATGTGCACGGGAATGTAACAAGGAGTACCGAAGAACAGATCGATATACTTGTGAATGTTGAGATGACGAAAAATCGAGAAGTATGTAAGAAGAATGCATATTGCGTTGATCCCAACTAACTAACTGCATTGGGACAGGAGCAAGTCAATGGTGATAACAGATTTAAGACGCTTAAGAAATATTTTAGATATATTCTTGTTTATGTATTATTAGTAAAACTGCTCAGTAACAATCACCGCTTACTTATACTACAGTTTCATACAATATGCAATTAATCAGAGCTTGGTAATTTAAAATCATATAATTCCCTTACGGTACCTCAGTTTTACAAAAAATTAAATAGAATCTAAAGAAGGATTTAAATTTATTAAAATACGTGTGCTTACGAGGTACGAGGAATTTGATATAAAAAGCTCCCACTTGTAAAATGACTAGCGAGAAGTGCGATGTCGTAGGTATCAATCAAGACGCACACGCACACGCAGTACGTTATTTTTCGCGGCTTTCAATATTAAATAATGTGTGTAGGTACACATATAAACATGATTTCATGGAAAGCAATAGTGATAAAATATGTTCCGACTAACCTACACAGCAACTGCGGTTTCATGTGAGGGTTTGCCGTGTCAGTTAAGAAAAAATTGTGAAACTTTGGCAGCGCCTACAACATAATATTATTGAAATCCAATACCAGCATGATCAACATTTGAGTTAACTAAATCATTAATATAAGTTTTAAAACTTTAAATAGAAGAAGCTAATTATATCAGATCATTATTTTCTACTATTAAACAGCTAACGTTTCAGAGAAAAGATAAATTTACCTTTGAAATAAAGATCGCGTTTAAAATATAAAGTGTTTTACCTTTTAGGATCACCGACGTTAATTCCATGGATACCCCGAAGTCATAAATAGTGATGTTTCTATAAGGCTTGAGTACGCCCGAATAATGTGGCATGTGATAAATTCCCTAGCGGCAGAATTTGCGAGGATCAGTTGTGAAGTCACAATTAATCTTGTATCAGAGCTCTGATGTCGCGCAATATCATTTTATACCAGTTTAATTAATTACATATAAATAACTGAGGACCTCGATGACGCCCTAGTTAGAGCGTTGAGTGTACGATGTAGAAGTTAAGCCATTTTCATGACCTATGACTAAAACTTTATTATCTCGAGTTTCTCTGTGCTTCGGAAGACACGTTAAGCCGTTGACTGCATCTGCTGCGTTAAAACCAAACCTTCATATCCCAATTTTCCCATTTGATTCGATGATACTAATACCAAAAGACTTTGCCCCTACAGTAGGGCCCTTAATAGGATGATGAAATACGTGATTCTTCTTTTACAATAAACCTTACAAAATAATGAGTAAATAACTTGATGACGCACTAAATTTTTATGAGTGTTTTATATAATATATATGAAAGCTTTTAGGCAAATTTAGGTTTCAAAGCACTACATTTTTATAAGTCGGTCTTTGTGCCCTTATAAAGGATTCATCCAAAAAATATCTCCATCACAACAAATAATATGAAAATATTAATGGTAATGTTGCGCGGTGGTAAGAAGCCCTCGTTTGCGAGTTACACACCACTTTGCCCATTTTACTTATAACGTGTAAATGCGTGAAGTAACGGTATAATCGAGTGATTCTGCTGGCAAACATGTAACATGGCAGGAAATGAATAATTATACATTTTACACATATATTAATGTGTAATTATTATACACTTTACATTTCATATTCTTTCCGTGTAACGGGATTTTGGAAAGAAATCTTTGTCTAGACATTTGCTCATAGAATACATACATGTATTCTGTGAGTGATGTAGCTACCGGTATCACTATTACGAGAAATATTAAAAGGATAATAATATCGTTGATAGAGAAAGGTCAGTTAATATAAACAGTTGAGTAGTCCTTTATAGTCTTAGATACGATTAAGAAAAATATAGGTAGAACCCTCATTTATTTGACCGTGTGAGTTTGTATATTAGATAACATGTATAATAACAATATAGAACCTGCGTGGCGACCTTATTGTCTAATATCAAAATCGAATACAATCTCTGTCAAATGTATAGCGATTATGATAGCGTCTTATAGAATTACAGTATTTTTGAAGTCGCGGTCGCTTTTGGAAGGAATGATGATTTGAATGATTAAGAAATTTAAAAAAAAAAAAGTTAAACTCGAAAGATTACAGTTAACATTCAACTATTTCCTTATAACTTTCAAGGATAATTGGATATTTGCGACTAAAATTAATTTCAAGTTACCTTTATAGTTCGTTCAAAAATTTAAAAAGGAAGCGTCTCGTTCATATTCGCAATCACATATCGAATAATTGTCTTAAATATCTTTTGAATGTAAAATTGAAAGAGATCAAGATAGAACTTTAAAATAAGACCTATAGGTCCTTTAGATTGCCTAACTTAATCAAGGGCTGTCACTGTAATATAATAATCAGAATGTGTCATTTTTTTATCAATTCTCATAATCTAATATTCACGAAAATCGAGTATTATTCGAGAGAAAAAATCTACTAGTTTTCATTTCTATTAAGTTCACTAATTTTGTTTTTTTTTTGTTTTGGAAAACAGAAAAACAATTAAAACATTAAAACTGATTATGACTTAAGTTGTAGAGGGCAATAAAAATTTTATCGATTGATCGTGAAGACTGATATTTAGTCACTCGTTTGTGCCTGTTCAGATATCGTAACGCAACAGTCCCCTTGAGCTGGATTTAATGTTTTAACTCGATATCAGAACTCGTCATACAACAGCAAAGCATCGTTTGTTTTTAACAATGTTAAAAAACAAATAGGAATCGCAAAAATTTAATTCTTTGCAATCCAAAACAATTGTGGCAAAAAATGCTCGATTCGGGTAATTTCGCCACGTTAAAAAAATCGTCATTATTCACGCCGCGATCATTTCCCGCTGGGAATGCAAACGGTCAGCCGTTGACATTAATTCACGCATCAACCCAAAAACAACCGACTACAGTAATACCAGAAATGATAAATGTACCGTCAACAACAAACCGGTTTTTTTTTATATTAATGTGTTAACAATAAAGTTCAATAATGTTTGTGAAAATTTGGGATTTTGTGACACCTGCTGTGGTTTTGTGAGTATAAGATAAACACAATGTTATTATAGAGCATGGGTATATCTTATCTTTATATATACTATATTTTCAATATAAGCTTTATAATACGCTAACATTACCTTTACATACACTCTAATAGTAACCAAATTTGGAAGAATGTCATTTATTAACAAATCAAAGAGGTAAAGTTTCTAACTTTGTTTATTTGTTTTTGGTTGTAATATTCGGCAATACTGATTTGATTATGAAAATTCTTTCACCTACGGGAAGTTACAATATACGTGGTTAGTAAGTTATAACTTACTTGATCCATTTTCGTAACCACGAAATTATACCAAATGTTTTTGGTTGTAATATTCGGCAATACTGATTTGATTATGAAAATTCTTTCACCTACGGGAAGTTACAATATACGTGGTTAGTAAGTTATAACTTACTTGATCCATTTTCGTAACCACGAAATTATACCAAATTATACAAAAAATAAATTTAAATTATACCAAAAAATTGGCGACTACTCCATCGACAAGAGATTGCGTATAACTACAATAAGAGTCAAAAATTACTTCACATCATTTGTAGTGTAGTGAAAATAATAGAGAAGAAAAAAGAAATAATTTTAACGAAACTATCACACATTAGGAATTAATTTCAACGAAACTATCACACATTAAAATGTTTAATGTCTGTAGGAGTAAAACGGGTCAAATGTAAGTATCTGTTTCATGAAAATAGACTGTTTAATTGGAATAGGAGCACAGCGTTCTAATGATATAATAGTACGATACTTGAAATAGCGATTAACGCTTGACCGACATTAAACAATAGGTACATACCTAATACCAGTTTGCCCCATTTCTAAGCAATACTACAGAATCTAATAACTAAATATTACAACACGTAAATACCTGCCACATCCTTGCATTAATTATATCTCAATTAAACTAGACAATCTGGTGAATATTCACAGGCGTTTTCATATTATAAGTAAAATAAAAATCGAACAAACCTAGTATATATATTGAATCTAGGTAATATAATATTTTTCATCTATCGAAATAGTGTTTCGTTTCAACGAGATTAGTGGCGAGAGCGGCAAAATTTCCTAAGGGCGTAGTTCACGGATGGTCGAACACGTGGCCATACCTACATAGAGACAGACCACAGAACATAGTAAGATTAGAACTATAACGATCATCCACAATTTTAACAATTGCTACAGTTCTACCATGGCTCTGTTATATATGCTGTTAGAGGGGAAAAGATCGACTACTATTGGCAGCACTGACTGTCGATTTCACTACGAGGATCCCTATCTATCAGTTAGTTGTCACTCTCATTTTGACTTTGCAGTTTGATCAGGTTTACGCTAAGTTACCACTTTTGAAAAAATTTTGGAGTCATCATTGTGATTTTAAATATATTATATTATATCAATTGAATAGTAAAATGTTTCTTCCAATAAGGCTAATAAAGAAGCATTATTTTTGCTGCCTTTAATTACACCCTCAAAACTTCAAATAACTGTGAACAGACGTGTGTCAATTAATACTCGTGGCTTATCACCGACCCATTCCTTTTTGCTTGCATTTATCATATCCGATATCTTTTTTATGTTAATGATCTCAAGTACTAATTTACGATTTCTTCGTAATTTGTATTTTTAAATTCATCATCACTAGCCCATTAACGTACCCACTGGGGCACAGACCTTCCCTATGGTTGGAATTGAATCAAATTGAATTGGGAGAATGTACACAGTATTAGCAACTGCAGATGCAGCCGAAACTAACGCTTAACGAAGCAGGGGGAAGCTCGTGTTATAATTTATTGGTTATCCATCCTGTGACCAGCCATTGCGAAAGTTGCTT